CACACACTGTTAAATGGGCCATTAATTTCACACATACAGCATGAGTTGCATCAGCTCCAGACTGTGCTGGATTTGTGTTATGTAAGTCTGTGAAACATGAATGCAGCAGCACTTATGCATAGGCTGCTTCTCAAACGCATGCTTCAGCGTGACGTGAGAAACACAAGATGTGACCCGAGAGTGTTTGTACAGGTGTCACACTTACAGTGATTCTTCAGATCAGACATCTGCAGCATCTCCTCAGTGCAGCTAGTGCATTCATTTAATTGGCGAATTTATTATATTTATTTAGTAAATTTATTTTATTGATAAGATTTATTTATGTGTTCATTTAGGGGGATTTATTTATTTACTACATTTTTATTGGGGGGGATTAATTAGTACATTTATTTATTTATTGGGGGATTTATTTCATTTATTTGTTTACAATATTTATTTTATGGGGGGGGGTATTTATTTATTTATGCTGTTGTATTGGGGGATTTTTTTTATTTAGTATATTATTTTATTGGGGGGATTTATGTATTTATTTAATAAATTTCTTTTATTGGGGGATTTATTTATTTACTGCATTACTTTTATGGGGGATTTACAATTTTTGGGGCATGAGTATTTATTTATTTATTCTGCTTTTATTTATTTATTCTGCTATGATTTAAAGAAAAAAAAATTTTTTTTTATTAAAATCTGTATCCAGATACGTTTTGAGGACAAATATTCTTGATTTTATATTTCTGTAAAAATGCATGATCTACTCTCGAAAGGTAAAAACAAAGGAATACTAGTAAGTTTCATGTTGAGAGCGTTTCAGGGCTAAAAGACTTTTGTTTTCAGACTCACTATCGTCTGAAGGATCGTGATTGTGAAACTGCGTGTGTGGCACTAAATCACGATTGAAATGTTTTGGCACCGTTACAAAACCTCAATTAATCCTGGTTTAGATACTGTATAGCCTACTGTACACACCATATACTGCTACCATGGCATCATCGGTGTCCTGCATTAGTGATTTTACTATAGTATCCAGTACATTTCACCACGGTTATGCAAGTAAAAGCATGTCCTGAAATAGAGTGACATGCTGAACTGTGTTTTGTTGAGTGTGTATTGTCTGAGACTGATGACTCACGGGTCTGCAGTGCGGTGGGTGGATCTGGAATGCAGCTCTGCATTATTGTTTTCTATTATTTGCTGATTGATGATTAGTATTAAATATCATGAGTATGGAACACCGTGTCGAAGCTGCGCGTCACGCGGAAAGTTCTCGGGCCAATCAGCTTTAAGTTTTTATTTTTATTTAATTATTTTTATTTTTTGAGGCAAAACGGTACATGCGAAAACTTTCATTCGCCTTATTTATATAGGTTTTTTTTTTTGTGACTGTTGACTCTCTTCTGATTTATGGAGTGATCCAAAAATCTAAAATCCTTTACAGTATGTCAACAAATGTATGCAAATTATTGCATATTTAAATAGATAATATTAATATAACATTTCAGAAAACTATATATATATATGTATATATATATATATATATATATGTGTGTGTGTGTTTGTTTGTATGTATGTATGTATAATATGCATGTGTATGTTTGTGTGTATGTGTATATATGTGTGTATATGTATGTATGTATGTGTGTGTATGTGTGTGTATATATGTATGTATGTGTATGTGTGTGTATATATGTATGTGTGTGTATATATGTATGTGTG